CACTGTAGCTTGAATGCGTTCAAAGAACTCCGTCTTAACTGCTTCATCCGCTTACAATGTTGGGGCATAAACGGTAACCAAATACATATTTGCAATGGTGCCTTTGAAGCGGGCTGTGACAATCCACTCTGAGATAGGCTCAAACGCTAAAAGAGTGTTATGCACCTCTTTTGTCATGGATATTGCCACCCCACGCAGTCCTGTGTTCGTTTGTGATCCGCTGTGGAGGAGCACATACGCAGAATCCTCTTGTGGGACGTTGATTTTTCTCGTTCCAGAGTCTGGGAGACGAACTTCTGACAGACAGGCAACGTCTACTTTATAGTCCCATAATTCGCGTGCTAGAAGGGCTTGACGGCAAGGATCAAGCAACGTCCGCACATTCCAGCAACCGATGTCCAAAGTGTGTCGCGAATTTAGAGAACTGGCTTGCATATTTGGCACTCCGGAAACCAGACGAACGCGGAGCGCGTCGCTTCCCGGGGACGCCGTAGCAGTATTGAGATTCGTGATATTCCTATTGTCCATGAAGTTTCCTGGGAATTTTGTTACAGATGACGTCCCCGGTGTTACTGGCCATTGCACTTTGTTTGCAGTGAGTTTCCCCCAGTTTTCCGCGAACCACCGGCGGGGTGGTCAAGGGTTGGACTATGTGTTGTAGTCCTTTTTGGATCAGGAGTCCACGACGGAGTCAAAACTGGTCATGGTTAGGAGACGGAGAAAAACTGAGACCTAGACGGGCTTTCGCCAAGGGTCCACGGGGGTGAGTTGGGTGCCTGGCCGCGAACTGCGGGCCAAAAGATGCTTACAGTCATGCGGACAGATGCCGCAATCGGGGTTGCTGTCAGATGTTAAGGGATTGAGATTGTGTTGGTACTGACGGGGAAGAATTGAGTAACCACTTCCTACTTGGCCTAAGGTAGAGCGATTAACCCCGGGGTTGTTCAGACGAGGGCGCAATCGGAGATGTTTAGCCGCCCAAAAGAACAATGGGGCGGTAGCTTGGTTTTGCGTCGACAACGGCTCAATACATTAGTTTCGACATAATTCCCCTTGAATTTAAATTGCTTTCCTTTTTCTAGATGCCAGTGGCG